TGTTCGTGTGTGTTCGTGTGTGTTCATGTGATCATGTGTGTGTGTTTGTGAGTGAATGAATGGCAGAGGAGCCACACCACCATGCGGCCCATCTCTCACTCATCGCAACCGATTCGACGGCTGCAAGCGGTTTGCCGCCAAAATGCATGCGCGCGCGCACACACACACACACACACACATCCGCTCACACACTGTGCGCATGACGTACTGTCTGGGTCTGGGTAGATAAAGTCTGGCACGGCCTGCAGCACCACGAATACGGCCATGGAGAGGACAAAGCCCGCGTTCACAAACCCGCCAATGGTTTCGGCTCGCTTCCACCCAAAGGTCATCCACTCTTGCGAATCCTGCAACGCAAGTGTGTGTGTGTGTGTGCGTATGTGTGTATGTGTTGATTGAGGATGGTGGCCCACAAGAGAGGAACAAGCGCAACAGAACATACACGCGAGAGCACACGCGCGCACGCAATAGATGGACGCACACGCACACGTATACACGCACATACAAACACGCACACACACAACCAACACAGACACACACACACACAGACACACACACAGACACACACACACACATTTAACACACCTTGGTTTGGACACGCTCTGCCCAGAGGGCGATGGCCAAGGCAAATGCGTCGGATAAGTTGTGGAGGCCATCGGAGAACATGGTGAGGGACTTCACCTTGAGGGAAAACACAATCTCCCCGAGGGAGTAGAGCAGCATCAGCACGCCCATAAGCAGAATGCGCGCCATGTTGCTCATCTGTCTTGCCGTCTCCTTCCCCGTGATGCCGCCGGGGCAGAAGAGAATCTCGTCATCGTCGTCGAGCAGGTCGTGCCCGTGCCCGTGGCCATGTCCGTGGCTGTGCCCATGACCGGGGCTGTGGCTGTGGCCATGGCGTTGGTGGATCTGCGTGCTTCCCAACAGCGACGCGTCTGACGAGGTTGTCGAGTGTGTTCTGGAGTGGCGGTCATCATCGCTGCCGTACATGCTGCTGCCACTCCCGCTGCCATTCACGCTGAACAGCGGTCGCCGCTCGTCCTCGTCAGACATGGCCGGCTCCTCCTGCTTCACCCGTGATTAGCGAGAGCCACACACAGTAGTGCAATATGCGCTGTGCTGTGCTGTGCTGTGCTGTACTGTGCTGTGCTGTGCTGCTTGCGGATACGGCCCTGTCGATTGGGCTGGTCGATCAGAGGCAAGCTCAGAAGGCAAGGCAAGGCAAGGCATCAACAACACGACTGCCCATGCGAAAAAAATGCAATCAACCAACATCAACAACGAACGAAGCAAGAAGCAGCGAAAAGCGCTGACGAGAGGAGACAATTCAAGGCGACATCCCCAGCACAGACGCTCACCCTATCTCTCTCGTACACATACACACCCATCCACACACGCACGCATCCACACACCCATCCACACAGACGTACACAGACGTACACAGACGCACACAGACACACACGGACGCAGGGATGCCGAGTGTGCCTGGTGTGCCGTTGTTGGTCGTGACGGTGATCTTGGGAGCATGCCTGGTTGTGGTGCCGTTGGTGGCGGCCATCCCCGTCTTGACTGTCGCGGCGGCGCTGTTCTGGCTCATGGGCAGCGCTACATTCAGCGCAACCCTGATCGCCCTCGAGGTCACCGCCGCATCCGCGCTGCTCGTCGGCGCAGGCACCCCGCCCGCGTTGCGGGCACTGCTCCGCTTCTTGCGCACACGATCCCCTGCTCATGACGCATGCCAGCGTGACATCAAGCATAAGACGACGGCCACGGCACAGGACAAGGCCAAGCGCAGCGGTCGCGGCGCCGCCACACGCGCCACAAAGACGCTGGCCTTCTTCCACCCGTATTGCAACGCCGGCGGCGGCGGCGAGAGGGTGCTGTGGTCCGCCATCAACGCCGTGTGCGAGGAGTACCCGCACTACCACTGCATCGTGTACACGGGCGACACGGACGCGTCCTCGGAGCAGATCCTGGCCAAGGCGCGGCTGCGGTTTGGCGTGGAGGTTGACCAGCGGCGCGTGACGTTTGTGTTCCTGCGCACGCGGCCGCTGGTGGAGGCGGAGCTGTACCCGCGCTTCACCATGCTCATGCAGAGCCTGGCGTCCATGCTCATGGGGGTAGAGGCGCTGCTTGCACACGTGCCGGACGTGTTTATCGACACCATGGGGTATGCGTTTGTGCTGCCGCTGTTTGCGGGGCTGGGCATGTGCCCCGCGGCGGCGTACGTGCACTACCCGACCATCAGCACAGACATGCTTCAGAAGGTGGCGAAGCGCGAGCAGGACTTCAACAACACCGACAGCGTCAGCGCGTCAGCGACGCTGTCCACGGTAAAGCTGTGGTACTACCGCATCTTCGCCTTCATCTACGGCATGGTGGGCGGCGCGGCCTCTGCTGCCATGTGCAACTCCACGTGGACTTACAACCACATTGACGCGCTGTGGTGGGGCGCGTACAACACGGCGTCCATCGTGTACCCGCCATGCGACGTGTCGCAGCTGACCAGCCTGCCGCTCGCTGGGCGCCAGAACGTGGTTGTCTCCGTAGCCCAGTTTCGCCCAGAGAAGAACCACGCGCTACAGCTGCGTGCCCTCAAGGCGTTTATCGACACACACGGCCGCGGCAAGGTTGGTCATGTGTTTTATGTGTTGTGTTGCGTGTGTGTTGTGTTGTGTATGGTGTACCGAGTGTGTGTGTACTGTGTGTATATGTGTGTTTGTGTGTATCGTGTGTTGTGTGTCGCGTGTTGTGTCTTGTGTCTTGTGTGTTGTGCTTTGTGTGTTGTGTTGCGTGTGCAGTTGATTGTGCATGTATGCGTGCTGCGAGTGAGAGCAACGCTCACACACACACACACACACACACACACACACACACACACACACACACACACACACACACACACACACACACACACGCACGCACGCACGCATGCACGCAAATGCACGCATGCACGCAAATGCACGCATGCACGCAAATGCACGCATGCACGCAAATGCACACACACACACTCTCTCTCTCTCTCTCTTGCGTGTGTTGCTGTGACAGGAGGAAGAAGACTTCCAGATTCGAACCAATGTGACATACGAGGTGGACATGCATGTAGCTTGCGCCCTGTTTGATGTGGATCACAGCTGCCACCGTAGCGGTGCTGCATTGACGTACTCTTGTACACATGTGCACGCCCCCACGCTCTCACGTCTTTGCACACACACGCACACATACATCCGTGCAAGCACTCACTGACTGACACACCCACACACGTGCACAACCTCGCATATGCACACGCACACTCGCATTTCATGACCCCTGTGTGTGTGTTTTTTTTTTTTTTTTGGTAGGAGCTGCAAGAATGGCTGGGCCGCGCCCTCATTGGCCTGCACACGATGAAGGACGAGCACTTTGGCATCGGCGTCGTGGAGTTTATGGCTGCAGGGTGAGTTGCCAACTTGCTTGCTATCACGTGTGTTGTGTGTATGTTTATGCGCGCACCTTCGTGTGTGTGTTTATATTTATGTGCGCCTTCATTGTACGTGTGCGTGTGTCTGTGTGTGTGCATCCCTTGTTGTGTGGCAGAGCGGTGCTCATGTGACTGTTCCTCGTTCATGCTGTGGGCGGCGCACAGTGCAATTGCGCTGGCGCACGATTCTGCCGGTCCACAAGGGGACATTGTGCTGCCTGCGGACGGCAAACCGACCGGGTTTCTGGCGTCCACAGCAGAAGAATATGCAGAACACATGCACACCATATTGAACATGACGCCGCAGCAGCGCCTCGAGATTCAGGTGTGGGAGAGCGCGTGTGCGTTTATGTGTACATGTGTGTGTGCGTGTGTGTGTGTGTGTGCGTGTGTGTGTGTGTGTGTGGCAAGACATTGGTGAACCGTGCGGGGCAAGGGACAAGAGGAGCCACACACACATGCACACACACACACACGCGCGCGCGCACACCTTCTGCCTCCCGCTCATTCAACTCACGTCCCACACACTCGCACACATGTACGAGCAGACGAGGGCGCGGGAGAGTGTGACGAAGCGGTTCAGTGAGGAGCAGTTCAAACAAGGCTTCCTCCGCCAAATGCAGTTCCTGCTGGAAGGATAGAGAGGAGGCCGTGCGTGCGTGTGTGCGTGTGTGTGTGTGTGTGTGTGTGTGTGTGTGCATGTGCGTGTGCATGTGTGTCTGTGTGTGTGCTTGCTGTGTTCATGTCACATGTCACACCATATCACTCTGTCTTCCGCGAGAACCATCACATGATTTGATGCACACGACCGTTTTGCAATTATCGCCAAGGATGATGGGAGTTGACGCCACGAAGCTGCCCCACAACCCACGCTCAAGAACATTCTGTCATGTACACGTGTGCACCACACACCCACAGCAACAAAAGACGAAGAAACGAGGTGACCGCGATGACATCACATGTTGCTATTAAAGGAAGATACGGCAATATTTCGGATTTGGTCATGTGACGAGCATCACGAAGCAACAAAAAGAAGCAAGGGCTTGGGCCAACGACGCAATGTGGCAGCGCTGGTGTCTCAACCTCACTCGTGTTCATTTTCCGCGACCGCCACCAGCTACCTACTAGCCAACAGCACCCACACACCAAGCAAGAAGAAGCAAATCAAAAGGGACCAATCAGCCAATATGAGCAAGGTGTGGGGTGTGCGCTTGTGCTGCGTGCGTGCGTGTGTGTGTGCGTGTGTGTGTTGTGTGCGTGCTTGCGTGTGTGTGTGTGTGTGTTGTGTGTGTGTGTGTGTGTGTGTGTGTGTGTGTGTGTGTGTGTGTGTGCGCTTCTTGCCCGCTTGCTTAGCAACGCTGCTCAACCCTCCTCTACCCCCCCCCCCCTACACGCACACCCACACACCACTCCAGTACCCAAACCTGCTGAAGCCCCTCACCCTCGGCGGTGTTGAGCTGAAGAACCGCGTGTTCATGGCGCCCATGACGCGTGGACGCGGGCCCGGCCAGATTGCCAACGAGGAGGTTGCCAAGTACTACGCCCAGCGCGCATCTGCCGGCCTCATCATCACAGAGGGCGTCCACCCATCCAAGCAGGGCGTTGGCTGGCTCAATGTCCCAGCCATCTTCACCGACGAGCAGGAGGAGGCCTGGAAGGTGCGCCACAGCGCGTGTGCATGCGTATGCAGGGGGGTCGTGTCAACACGCCGACGTGTACTGTTTGTTTTGTGCTTCTTCCACCTCCCCACCCCTCGCAACAGTTTTGTCTCGGTTAACACGCCTTTGTTCTCTCTTCTCTTTTCCTCTCCCTCCTCTTTTGTGCTCCGTGATGCCTGGTTTTGCAGCCTGTCGTTGAGGCTGTGCACGCCAAGGGTGGCCGCATCTTCATGCAGCTGTGGCACCAAGGGCGTCAGGCACACTCCGACTTCCACGACCTGCAGCCTGTGTCTGCATCTGACGTCGAGATTGAGAACTCTGACGGTCTGTACACATCAAAGGGCAAGGTTCCTTACGAGAAGCCCCGCCCTCTCACTCTCGACGAGATCAAGGAGACCATCGAGGTATGCGTGTGTGTCGTGTGTGTGTGTGTGTGTGCGTACAATTATTTCTGCTTTCAGAGTCAATGTCCCTTGCACCCGTACCTGTTTGTCTCTCACATTCTCATCTGATACTGTGCTTACAAACACCCCCACACGCACGCACGAACGCGATCCTGCTCCTCACTCAACTCAAACAGGACTACCGCAAGGCTGCTGAGCGGGCTGCTGCCGCCGGGTTTGATGGCGTTGAGATCCATGCGGCCAACGGCTATCTCCCCGACCAGTTCCTGCAGTCCAAGACCAACAAGCGCACAGACCAGTATGGCGGCTCCATCGAGAACCGCTACCGCTTCCTTGACGAGATCACAGAGGCCGTCCTCACGGTACGTAATCAAGACGGAAAGTGAGAAAGAGGGAGGGGCGACTGTGGGCCATGTGCACGCATGTGCGCTGATATGTGTGTGTGTGTGTGTTCTTGGTGTTGGTCACAACGGCTGCTTGTACGTTGCCTGCATTTATTTGCGACCAACAGCAACAGCAACAATGATGCAGCAACAGTAACAGCAACAACGATGCACTTCTTTCCTCCATTCCCTTTTTCCCTCCGCACCGCGCAGGTCCTGCCCAAGGAGAAGGTTGGCGTGCGCCTTTCCCCCAACGGCACCTTTGGTGATATGGGTTCCCCCGAGTACCGCGAGCTCTACCTCTACGTCGCAACGGAGCTTGGCAAGGTTCGTGTCACCCACTGACTGCTTGCCAGCACAAGACACACACACGCACGCACACACGCACATGACAATGTCACATAACTCACACCCAAGTACTGAACTCGCGCCTCTCCAACAAACTTGCAGAAGAAGCTTGCGTACGTGCATGTGATGGACGGTCTTGGCTTTGGCTTCCACGAGCTGGGCGAGCCAATGACGCTCAAGGAGTTCCGGGAGGTGCTGCCCAAGGAGACGGTGCTCATTGGCAACGTCGGCTATACGGCCGAGACGGCGGAGAAGGCCATTGCCAACGGCGACGCGGACGCTATTGCGTTTGGCCGGCCCTTCATCCCGAACCCGGACCTTGTTGAGCGGTTTGCAAACGACTGGCCGCTTGCCGAGCCAGCGGCGCCGCCAACGTGGTTTGCGCTCGACCCAGAGAAGCCCCTCAGCGCCAACTACACCGACTACCCTGCCTACCAGCAGTAGGCGCCGCGTCTTGCGCGTGTGCCCTGTCGGTGCACGACCTATTTGTTTGATGGAAGGATCGTTTCTAATCTAGTTTGCCCTTTTCTGCTGCTGTGGTGTGCCGGTGCGTGTGCGTGAGCGTGTCACGCGTGTCCTTGCTCGTTGTCTCTTTCTTTCCCGTTGTCGCGAGTACACACCAACGCCACCATATCGATGCATCGAATATGTCATCAACATCGCGAAGTTCGCGAGCGCGGAAACTCCCACACAAAACAAAGCAAAAACAAACACGAGCGAACGCAACAACAACGCACGTCTTTGGTTTCCCACACCACCACTGTTACACGGCATTGTTGTTGTTGCTGCATCATGTGACATGATGTGACGCCGCTCCTTTGTAGTGGTGCCGTACCACTCATTCACAACACCACCACCCAGTTCCCCATTCTCACCAGCCAGTCAGACCTTCTTGCTTGCTTGCTTGCTTGCTTGGTTCTTCTTCACATCAGTGTGACATTTCCGCCCATTGCACGCACGCCCTCTATCGTCATTCAGACACCCCAGCGTCATCATCACATCACTGTGCGCACACCTTCTTTCTTCTTCTTCTTGTTGTTCTTGAGCTTCTTCTCCTCCTCCTCCTCCTCATCATCATCATCATCAGCATCAGCTTACCCTGCTGTATCACCATTTCCCGAGTCAACCCTTCTTGTGCACGTGCCCGCTTCACTTTCCACCCCCACATCCACGTACATACACACAAGCGCGCAGCAAATGCTGAACCCGAACCGCGGTCACCGAGACGACGTCGTCAGCCCGCCGCCGACCCAGCACCCAAACCAGGAAGCGCAACCCAAGCCGACTCACGCACAGCGCGAAGCCGCCAACCACCGTACACCCCGCCCACCATCAACGCTGGATGCTCAACGTGACGCACGCCAGCAACCACCACCACCACGGCAGCATGCTGACGACCATGACGACGATGACAACAACAACCCGGATGTAAACGATCCCACAGACGATCAGCATGAGACGATGGAAGACAGCCACGATGTTGCTGGAGGAAGACAAGGACAACGAGAACAGCAAGGTGAGCAGGGAGCTGGCAATATGACAGACACACACAAAAACACAAACAACCACCACAACATACCACAGCACGAACAACAACAACAACAACAACAACAACAACAACAACAACAACAACAACAACAACAACAACAACAACAACAACAACAACAACAACAACAACGAGATGCTCACCACCATCAGCAGCACCAGCACCACCCTCAACGGCGGCAACATCACGGGCTATGGGGTGCGCTGAACTTGCTGCATCGCGGCGGCCGTCGCGGCGCAAGATCCAAGTCACCCTCCCACAACAGCAACTGTGACGACAACACCCATCGCGCCGACAGCATGGGCGCGCGCTCCACCAATGCTCACGACGACAATATCCGTGGGGTCGAGGATCACGAAGAGGTCGGCGTTGGCACGACGTCATTGCAGGCATCAGCAGACCCTTCCTATCACAGTCAACGCCACCCGAGCCAAAGCTCAGGCCCAGACAACCTCGAACAAGAACAGGAGGAACAGCAAGAGCAGCACCGGAGGAGGCGAAAGGGCAAGGGCATCATCGGTCGATGGCGGCTCAAGTCGCCCAAGTGGATATCGCACACGACGCAGGCAGCGCGCCGTGACAGAGAGCAGCTGACGTCCGCGTCGATGCCAAACCTCAGCACCTCTAGCAACGGCGGCAGCAGTAGGCCACACCCAGCCAACAACATGCTTGTGCAACGAACACCGAGCACGCACCATCCATCACGCCCAAGTGTGCCCTCCCCGCTCTCCCTCAGTATGTCGCCTGCAGAGCAGTCGCGCCGCTCCCAGTCGCCGGCATTCCAGCCTGTTCACGACACCGACAACATCAACGGTGATGACGAAGATGACAACGATGCTGACAAGGGCGGCGATGACGAACACGTTGGCGCCATGAGGGGACACGGCAACGTGGACAGCCATGATGATGGTACTCCGGGCGCCTGCTTTGCGTCGCATGCGCGGCACTCGTTCTCTGGTTTTCTCAACGCCAGCTGGAGCGGCATTTCCCGCGTGTCGGGGTGGTCGCTTGCATGGGCCGAGCGTGCCAACGCCAGTGACAGCAGCACCAACGCCGATGACAACGTCGACAGGAAGGGCGGGGTCGATGGTGACCAAGGTGATGACGCTGCTGCTCACGGTCACGGTGAGGGCGAGGCAGCCGAAGAAGGACAGGCCAGGCCACAAGGTGCGCAGCAGCGAGGCGATGAAGTGGCGACAACTGCACGTGGCAGCATGTCTCGCACTGGCTTGAGCCGGCACAGTGCACGCAGCAACAACAGCAACAACAGCACTGCCAGCAGTAGCAGCAACAACAGCAGCAGCAACGGAGGCGGCAGTACCACCAACGGCAACAACAGAGGGAGTGTGGCAGACAACGAAGCTGATGACGATGATGACGGTGATGATGGTGACGGCGATGATGAGGACGGCGTTACGGTCGAGGGGCAACGCAGCTACACACATCTGCTGCGCCCTGGCAGCATGCAGTCGCCACGGCGGCGGCGCCGGTCGCTGCTACCACGCGACAGCCACGAGAGCACGACAGCGCCAACAACGGCACCAACTACGCCGGCCACGGCGAGTGGAGAGGACAGTGCTTCGCACGATGCTGTGTCCGACACCCAGGCTCCCTCACGCCAACAGAGACGACGACAACGACAACGGCAACAGCAGCAGCAGCAGCCACAGCAGCAACAACAGCAACAACAACAACAACTACAAGAGCCGGCACGACGGCGGAGGCGGAAGCTGTTTCGTCGGCGTCGCTCGTCGTCACCAGCGCATCGTATGCCATCTCGCCAAGCTGGCGCGTGTACACGTGCCACTGCAAGAACAGCATCAGCAGCAACAGCGTCGTCACTGTCGCCGTCACCACGTCAGGACAACACGCCAGCGAACGCCAACGGCAACGGCACCAGCACGGGACCTGCATCGACACCTGCCACAGCCAAGGCCACGCCAGCGACTGAAAGCGGTGGTGTTGTTGCGGCTGTTCGAGACCTGTGGCAGCAGCTGTACGAGGACGCGCTGTCAAGCCGCGCTGTCCAAATCGCGTGCGCCGTTGTGGTGGTGCTGTTGGTTGTGTTGTTGCTGTCATTGATGTTTGGTGGAGGTGGTGGACCTGGTGTGCTGGATCGACGCACACTGCTCCGCCTTGCAAACCTGGAAGGGCAGGCCAGCGTGTACGCGCAGTTTGGGCACGAGGATCAACTGCGAGCGGCGTTGAAGGAGGCAGCAACACTGCTGCGGCTGAAGTGCCCGGACAAGCTCACGCTCACCGGCCTGAACGTGGCCAACCACTTGTTGCGCCGTGACGGCGACCTTGTGCACCTCGGAAACATTTTCACCTGTCGCTCCAGCACCACCAACAACCCCTAGCATCGAGTTTTGTGTGTGTGTGTGTGTGTGTGTGTGTGTGTGTGTGTGTGTGTGTGTGTGTGTGTGTGTGTGTGTGTGTGTGTGTGTGTGTGTGTGTGTGTGTGCCACGTGATATGTGAATATGAGCGGAGTATTTGATCCTTATTTATTATCCTGTTTCATGAACCCTGCTCACCTGGCCTCTTGTTTGCTGGCGTGTGTTCGGGTGGACCAAATTGAAATAAACGAGGACAGTTCGTTGGCTTCCCTCCGTGTGTGTGTGTGTGAATGAGTATGTGTGTGTGTGTTTGTGTGAATGAGTATGTGTGTGTGTTTGTGTCAATGAGTATGTGTATGTGTGTGTATGTGTGTGTGCGTGGACAATGGAGTGGAAGATCTGGTATTTATTCTCTCTGTTTCTGAAGGTCAACACCGCGAAAACAGAACGTGCACACCACGTTCAGCAAGAAAGAAAGAAAAAAAAAACTGCACCAACCGAGGCAGACAGAAACAAAGGGTGCCAATGGCACCCCTCGTCATCAGCCACGCACACTCGCATAAACGCACCGCCCGCTTGCCCTCTCCTTCTCTAGTCGCTGGCAACAATTGAACACCATCACCATCACCACCACCACCGCCACTACCATCATCACGGCCACGCGCTGTCGTCGTCGCTGACTGCAAACGGGTTATTGGCGGACGTGTCAGCGTTCATATCCTGCACAATTTCGCCCTTCTGCCGCACTTTCGCCGCCAGCAGCACGTGCTGGATCTGTACTCGCCCATGCCAAGGGAAGCGGCGGGAGGCGATTTGGGTTGAGGGAGATGAATGGGGTAGGGGGGTTAGAGAGCGATAATGTGAAGGTTACACGGAAGGGGGGGGGGGTTGAAAACACGTACATGTGCAAGACCACAGCCCCACGAAGAGTCACGGAAACGCACCACAACTGGCAACCAACCAAGCAACCAACATCAACGGCAGCGGCACACAGCAGCAAACAGCAAAGATGGTCATCGCCAAAACACCAGCAGCATCAACAGCTTCAACGACAAACAACAGCAGCAGCACGCACCACGCCAATTCGCAGGTCCATCTGCGAGATCTCTGTCTTGAGCGCTTTGAGGGCCTGCTTGATCTTGACCAGCGGGCTGGCATCTGTCATGCTGCTGCCTCGCTCGTCCATCTGTGACTTGACGGCTTCCAGGTCCGCGCTCACCGCCGCCAGCTGTCGCGAGTACTCTGTCACCGTCGTGCTCGCTTGCTTGTACCTGCATCACATGGCGCAGTGGCAAGTAGAATGCGGTGGTGGTGAGTGCGCGCGTGTGTGTGTGTTTGGCGAAATCGAGATGCCAGCCTGTTCCAGATGTTTACACATGAAGACAACACACACACATGTACATACACATACATACAAATACATGAATACACAAACATGCATGCGCACGCGCGCACAAGCATCCACACACACACATGCGTACACACACATGCGTACACATGCAAGCATCCACGTTGCCCGCACCGCTCTTGTGTTGCTGCGAGGGAGTCCTGCTGCTGCCTGAATTCGGACACCAGCGTCTCCAGCTGTCCGTTGATGTATTTCTCGCGGCTCATAATCTTCTCAAGCGTCTTCGCAATGTCCTTCTCAAGCTTCGACAGATGTTGCTGCGCGGAGATGTGTGCGTATTCGGGTATGTATTCGTGTGTGTGTGTGTGTGTGTGTGTGTGTGTGTGTGTGTGTGTGTGTGTGTGTGTGTGTGTGTGTGTGACGGGGTGAGGAAAGCAGTGGATGAGAGCCAAGCTCCAACCTCGCACAGGAAAATGCAGGAAAAACGCTCAAGGTGCAGAAAGCACAATGCGTATGAACACGTACACGCGCACACAAGTGTACACGACAGAGACAACGCAAACCACAACAACAACAGCCGTTGCAGCAGGAACAAGCGCTGGTTGACGTACAGTGGTGTCCTTCAACGCGCCCTCAATCTGTGTTTTGTTGTCCTGCATCTGCTGCAAGTGTGTGCGCCAGTCCTTGGCGTCGCTGCGAATGTGCACTTTCAGCTGTGGAAGCACGCGCTCAAGCTCAATCTTCCACTCCGCAGCCGTCACATTGGATTCCAGCACCTCCGCCCGCTCGCTGCTCGGCGCCTGCACGGTTCAGTGTCAGTGAGTGTGTGTGTGTGTTGTTGTTGTTGTTGTTGTTGTTGTTGTTGTTGTTGTTGTTGTTGTTGTTGTTGTTGTTGTTGTTGTTGTTGTTGTTGTTGTTGTTGTTGTTGTTGTTGTTGTTGTTTTGTTGTTGTGTGTGTCGTTGTGATCGACAGACAGTGTGTGTATGAGTGTGTGTGTGTGAGTGTGTGTGTGTGTATGTGTTTGTGCATACAGCAGCACGGTGGCTCAAGCTTTCCACACATAGCGAGATCCCCGAAAGATATGGCCCCTTGCACAGACAAAACAGCTGCCACGTAACAAGTGCGAGAGCAAGACAAGCAAGCTCGTCCACGGACACATTCGCATGAGTACACATACAAGCAAACACACACACACATACGCAGATGTACACACATACACACACACAAGCACGCACCACTTCCGCTGCCATTGCACCGCCGTCAATAAACGCATCGGCCTCATCATCAAAGTCTTCCTCCTCCTGTCAAACACATGCGCTGGCGTGAGCTGGACAACGGAGAAAGAAGACAGGAGAGGACATGCGACGGGGCTGCGATGCCATCAAGTTCGCACATCCCCCTCTTTCTGCTTCACACACACACTGTCTCTCACACACGCACACACACACACTCTCTCTCACGCACACACGCACACACACCACCCGTTCTCGATCTGAAACACTCACAATTTCTTCCTCTGCCTCCATATCCGCTGTTGTGATTTCCACGGCCTCTTCCTCATCCTCCTGCTCCTGAAAGTCTTCGTGCTTGTGGATGGGCCTGGCCCCAACAGAAACGCGTGACTTGTCGGTGAGTGACTGCACAGAAACCAACAAAGCGAAGATGCACGGCCACACACGCAAAAACGCATGAAGCACACGTGCATCAATGCACACACACACACACACACACACACACACACACACACACACACACACACACACACACACACACACACACACACACACACACACACACACACGAAGCACGCATGTACACGAGCGCAGCGATGACGCACTTTCCCCAGGTCCACTTGAGTGATTTGAGCGCCATCTGGCCGAGCTGGTTGAGAATCTGGCAAATCTCCTCGCCAGCGCCCGTCTTCAGCTTTGATTGAGACACGTCCACAGATACACCCTGAAGAGCACAACACGTGTGCACACACACACACACACACACGCACACACACGCACACACACGCACACACACGCACAGAACAGCAGAGTCAGCAACGTGTCACCCACAACAACCACAAGTGCAACACACCACTACAAACATCACGACAAGTGACACCACAAGCGACATCACAAGCAGCAGCAACAGCAGCAGCAACGATGACGCCGCTCTCATTCACCATCACCACCGCTCCTCACCGCTTTGCGAAGCTCCATCATCACAGAGGTGACAATCGAGTTTGGATCATCATACTGCACCCAACGAACAATGAATGTGAGCGGCTGTACAATCACTGTAAATGCTAATACAACACACATTGCAGCAGCTGCCATCTCTAAGAACACGCAAGCTCATGCCAGCGACCACGCCACACACACACGCAGTTGAACACACGCACACGCACACGCACACGCAGTTGAACACGCAGACGCAGTTGAACACACCTGGTCCGGGGCCTTGTATCGCTGCTTGAGGAAGCTTAGGAGCCAGGAGACGAGGTTGGCAAAGTACCAGAGCTGTTCGTTGGGGTCTGTTGACTCTGCAAAGTAGTAGCGGTGGATGGGCTTCATGGAGAACTTCTTGCAGAAGTCTTGCTCATATTTGAGCAGCTTCAGCTTGTCCAGCACGTTCTCGCTCTGCATGTACGCGCCAAAGGGGTTCTCTGCAGCTTCATCTGCGTCTGCCGTCCGTCGTTCCCGCCTCTCCCGACGAGGCTTCTCGCTCTTCTGCATGGGCGTATTAGCAATCATTGTTGTCAGGAAGCAAGAGACGTGTCGCATGTGTGCGTGTGCGAGAGAGTGTGTGAGTTCGTAGTTGAGAGTTCTGTTGAGGTGACACCATACCGAGCAACCAAACCCCTCCCCCCCCCCACACACACAAATGCACACACAAGCGCGCACATGCAAACCGTGGTTGACCTTACCTCTGTGTCACCCATGCTGCTTGCGTGTGTTGTTCGTTCGTTCGTTGCGAGGTGGTGTGCATCAATCGCTCAAGCTACCATCCAGCCAGCCAACAACAACTGCATCAACTGTTGCCACAGTCCCTTCTTCTTCTTCCTCCTTTGCTTGTTTGTTTTCGTTCGTTTGTGGATTTGGCAGTTTTGCATCCAAGGCGGAAAAGTAGCAGAAATCATTCGTAGATTGTCCGCAACCGATGCGAGGCAGGAGGACGGCGATGACGGCTGCTGCTGTTGATGGTGTTGGTGTTGGCAATGAAGACGATGATGGGGAGGTGATTGTGCTCATGGACGAGGATGATGATGATGATGATGATGAGGGGGAGGAGGGGGAGGAAGAGGGTGATGAGGAGGAGGAGGAGGAGGGTGAGGAAGATGCAGACCAAGGTGGAGATCCTCCTGTCCAAGAAGGACAACAGCAGGCAGGGCGGCAGCGGCAGGGAATGCACGTGGGACGACAGCGGGCACCACGTGACGGTACTGTAACAAAACGACCGAAGCTGCTCTCGCTTCGCAGCGAACGGACGTCAAGTGCAAGTGTGAGACGCACCAATGAGGACACAAACACGTTGCATGCAGATGCATCAGCCAGCACAAGGAAAGGCGAAGGTAAAGTTCGTTCAAGCAAGGAAGGCAAAAGTGGCGGCGGTGCGCTGTCACCTTCACTGAAGCAGACACTGAGGAAGCTGCTGCCCTCAGCAAACAAGACTGGAACACCATCAACACCACCACCACCACCATCAGCAACAGCAACAGTAGCATCAACAAAAACAGTAACATCAACAAAAACAACACCACCCCGTTCCCGTCATCGATTCAGTCAGCAACGAAGAGCGTCAGCATCCCGAACCACATCGTCGTCGAGCACATCGTCTTCCGCCAGTTCATCGGCTGCCCCGCGGCGGAAAGCGAGCGCAACGTCCCCAGTCGCACTACCAAAGAAGACAACGGCCGTGAAAGCAAAGGTGTCTGTGATGCACTTGCTGCAAAAGTCTTCAAGCCACACAGTGCGCATGGTGACATGTCCGTGTTGCGAGCAACAGCTCTCGGAAACGGTCATCAACACGCACCTGGACCAGTGCCTACCACAACGCAGCAAGAGTGCGCCCAGCAAAGCTGTTGTCCAGCACCACACCGCCTCCATATCGTGGGTCAACCTGACACTGGAGAACCGACACTTCTCGAGCAACAAGCCGAACAACAACGGCAACAAAGACAACGGCGACAATGAAGGTTGCGCTTCAGACCACAACGATGTTGTCAACGACAGCACGGCTGAGCAGCGCGAAAGAAAGCAGTCAGCGCAGTCCAAGCGGCGGCAGTCTGGCATTGCGCTCTTTGATGCTGACAGCGACAGCAGCACTGATGACGATGATGATGACTGTTGTGCTGATGATGATGATGGTGGTGATGATGATGGTGATGATGATGATGATGATGGTTTTGGTAGTGGTGGTGGTCATCACGCTTGTACTGACGATGGTCAAGGACCGCGTGCCAGTGGAGTGACACGTCAGCACGTGACATCGGCACGCGCGGCGTCTGCCTCGATATCCATGGACACTGAAGCACCTGCAGCGGAGAGTGAAGATGCAAAGCACCAGCGATGTTTCACCTGCGGTGCCTTGGATCACTGGAGCCGCGAGTGTCCACAGGTACAAACAGACGCACGCAAGTAATATTGCACACACAAACACACACACACACACACATCTAACACACGCACACACACACACACATCTAACACACACATGCTCGAACGCACACTCATGTCTACGCGGAGAGTAGACCTCACCCACCCACGTCAGCGTGGAGGCACACGCCAAACCAAATACCACTAACTGCCATTCACCACATCATACACACACGCACACCATACACACGCACACCACGCACACACCATATACACACATATACACACATATACACTACACCCGCACATGTACACAACAGGGGCCGTACTACTTGCGTCACTTCAAGCTAATGGTGGACGAGGTGTCCAGTGCGACGCATAACAGGCACCTGCTGTGCCCGCACGACGTTGCTGTGCTTCGATGCCTCAACGCGCTGCCAATGCCAGCACAGAAGCTGTTTGTGCGTCTGTACAATCGCCGACATGCCTGGCTCCGCGTGGATCGCCTCTCATATCCAGAGGTACGCATGTGTGCGTGGTTTGTATGCTTGGCGTGTGCTCATGTGTGTGTGTGTGTGGTTTGTATGCTTGGCGTATGCTCGTGTGTTGTGTGTGTCTGTGTTTGTTTGTGTGTGTGTGTGTGTGTGTGTGAATGTGTGAGTGTGTAGCGGATTTGCGCGTCTCCTTACACGAAATCCCGCACAATCGCACACACACATACGACACAATCGCACGCACTCACGCACATGACACACTGGCACACACTCACTCACATGAACACGATAACACACATACACACACGGTGTGTACAAATGCATATGTGCAGATTGCGGAAGACTTGAATCCTGTTGTGTCGGATCTTGTAGAGTGTGGTCTTGCGCACACGCCGGCAGCCGTCACGAGCTTGTCTGATGCCCTACATGCGCTCTCTCCCCCAAGCCTGCGAACGCTGCAGCGTCAGTTTCGTGTTCGCTCCTCCAGCACAACGCGCGAAGATCTCGTGCGAGCGCTCACGGTGGCGGCCCAGCAGCAGCGCACGCTTCTGTCGAAGGATAGCAGCACGCGCATGCGCAAGGCGGCGGTGGCGTTGATGGGAAATTGCGTCCGGTTAAATGCGGACGTGCGCGCGCTCTTCACGCGGCTTGAAGTCCTCTTCTTCATGAAAACCGGACTGCGGGAGAATACGCTGGCGACCGTGTACCTTGCTGAGAAAGGTGCGCTCACATACCCCTCGTACCGCGTGCGCGCGAGTGCAACGCCCGTGTTCTCATCGCGTCGGCAGTTGTTGGAGTACACGCGTGCCCTCGTCACGGAACAGCGGCTGGAGGACGCCATTATGAGCGGTCGCATGGACGACGTTGAAGCAGATCTCAAACACGCGTATGCAATATGGAGGCAGCTTGTGCAGAACGCACAGTGTGGTGATTGCGGCGGCGGGGGTCGTGGCAGTGGTGTCGGTGTTGGTGATGATATTTCGGGCTCGCGAGCAGATTGCGGAGGTCGGGAAGGTGGCAGTGTGTTAAAACGCCCCGCTACCTGCTTGAACGAAAGCAGTGACGATGGTGGCGATCAGGGCCTGAGTTGCCATCCCTGCCCGCTGGCCGACTTTGATCGAACCACAACCCCAGCACGCACAGCCATGAGCATGGGGAGAGATGGCAACATTCCTGGCTGCGATACTGCCGCTGATGATGATGATGATGATGATGATGATGATGATGATGATGATGATGATGATGATGATGATGATAAGGGCAGGAGTCTGTACGCAAGGACACAGATGCTTTTCAGTGGTGGTCAGGGTATCGTTGAACGTCAAGTTGGCGGCGATGGTGAAGAGGAGGATGACGAACAACTACAAGATGACAATAAGAAACAACAGACACACAAACACAACGACAGCACAGAGAGTGCCAACAGATGTCACGCTGCTACTGTGGTTGCTGCTTCAACTGACGACGACGATGATGATGATGATGATGATGATCTGGACTTGATTGTGCTGAGTCAGGGCGCGCTGTTGAGAGAGCAGGCGCTACGCGAGAAGGAGAAGCAGTTTCGCCTTCAGTTCACACCCGCTTGGGTGTACACGCGCATTGTTTGCTACTACGTAGAGCTTTTGGAGCGGAACCATGACTACGAACCCGCAGGTGTGTTCATTGTCTGCTTGTTCTTGTGCATGTTTGTGTATGCGTGTGTGTGCGTGTGCATGTGTGTGTGTGAAAACGGTGGGCTCAGCAACACAATACCAGGCACACATGTGCACACACGCGCAACTCTCCCATGCACAACACTAAGACGCCCACCATCCACCATCGCCAACGCTGCGTCGCCAGTTGTGGTGCTGCATGAGCTGCTTGAGCAGAAACTGTTTTGTCTGGACCGCCGTGGCCGCTGGTTCGATCGCATCGCCCTCCACTACAGGTACAATCCTGATGGCTGGTGATGGTTGGTGATGTCTGTTCGTCTCTGCGGCAACCTTTATTTTGTTTTTTGTTTTTTGTTGTTCGTGTTTGTACAGCGTAAACGCATTTACCGTCAACGCGTTGACAGCTTGTTCTTGCTGCCACTTACATGTGCGGGCACCCGGCCGTGTACCAGCAATGCAAGAACGCTCACGAGTATATTCACACACGCGCGCGCATACACGCGATGTCACCATTGCTTGTTTGACACGTGTCCACGCGCGTACAGCGAGCACGTGCGGGATGCGGCTGAATCGCTCCGTCTCTGCGACGAAGGCGTTCGTGACCATCACATCCGGACCGGCCACAAGGTTGGTGACAGCACCGTAACATGCCGCGGTGTTTGTGATGACGTTGTTTCGCTTTGCTGATGAGTGCATACTGTTTCAGCAGTCACGACGCGCTCGCTTGTGCACGCCCATGTTTGCTGCCCTGCTATGGCCTTCTGTCTCATTTCCTCCCTTTCTCCTCCCCTCGCCTAATTCCCCCACCCTTCCATTTCCCAACCCATCCACCACCAGCTGTCGCTGCTTCGCCGCGCTGCCCGCCTGTGCCGCTCGTCAAAGCATCCGCACCTCCACCGCCACGCAGAGACACATCCACCAGCACAGCTGCACGCGGGTCAGCGGCTGGTGCTGTACGGCCGTGCCATGTCTGATCGTGAGCCAGGCAGGAAGATGACGTTCATCCACAACGACACCCTCTGCTCGGTTGAGGACTTTGTCTTGCTCAAGTTTGCCGAGCGCAACTGGTGCGTTTGCTCGTGCGTGTGTGTGTGTGTGCCTGTGTGTGTGTGTTGGTGTGCTTCGTGCATGTGTGCTTGTGTGTGCTTGTGCATGTGTGTGCGTGTACGAGAACGCGCGGATGCGCGGATACGTACTGGCGTTCTATTTGCGTATTCTTTGTGACACTTGTCCATCACATGCTCCGTTGGCTGCAGGAAGGGCATTCACTGTGAGGGCCAATTCTTTCGGACCGTATTTGCGCTCTTGATGTGGGACGTCATGTTTGCGTGAGTCTGAACCCACACACGCGCAGCACACACGTACATACTCGACACACATGCTACACTGACCTGCGCGCTCACGTCGCCCCTCTCCTCGACCCGCACTCAGTCCCTCTCTGCCCCATCGCTGCCTGTTTCCTCCCACCAAACAAACACACACACACACACACACACACACACACACACACACACACACACACACACACACACACACACACACACACACACACACACGTGCGTGGACACCACAGGGACGTTCCACACGCATTTCAAACGCGATATCAGGTGGCGCCAGCAGACTTTCACACAGACACATTCTACGCAGCGTGAGTGCCTTGATCGCGCCATCAATTGCGCGTGCATGTGTCTGAGATGACCTGTGGAGCATGATGTGTATGCGTATGAAGCAACATGTGGAGCATGATGTGCAGTGATGTGATATTGTGTGATGTGCAATGATGCCATGTGAGCCCTGGTCCACGTCGTCACCAGTCGTGTCGCATGCGTGTGCTTGCAGGCGATATGAGCTGATCAAGAAGCGCCTGGGTGACATTTACGATGGTGATCTGCATTCCATGATTATGCAGGTCTGTTCGCACAACACACACGCATGGCAACAAAGAGAAGCGATCCACTGCTCACTGCACTCACGCATTACATATTCAGACGCTCGCATGTATGCCCTGCCTGTCGCCACACGTGATCTGATGATGAACGGCATGTTTCCTTGCAGGCGTGGGATGAGCACCATGGTGTGATGGCAGCTGGCCTGAGCTGGAACATGCTTTCAAGAGATGAATTGGCAGAGGCAACAGCCGCCATTGGTATGTGTGTGTGTGCAATACAGGTCGAGGTAATTGCACACGCGTGAATGTGTCGTTGTTGAAGTGCTTTGTCTTTGTTTGACTTTGAATCAACACTTGTAGCAAACGCGCCTGCTCACGATTTTCATGACACTGCTGTTCTTCTGTACAGGCAACAAAGTCATTGCTGGTGTGTGTGACATTCTCGCCCAGGACTATCGCCACAGATCAGGTACAGCGACCCCCACCTTGCCCATTTTTTCCTCCCGATGCAGCAACCCATTGGTTTAAGCTGCAACGAAATGCAACGCAGCAGCATGCAATTATGATGTACTCGAGTCACATCATCGCTTGTTGTTTCCGCGCTCGCATGCTCTCTCTCTCTCTCTCTCCACCAAACAGGCGGGCTGCCGGATTTGCTGCTGTGGAAGCAGCAACCAACAGGAGGTGCGCTGGTGTTGTGTGTGTGTGTGTGTGTGTGTGTGTGTCGCACGCTGGTTGTGATGTCGTCATTCGTGTGATGTGTTCACTGTCAACGGTTCTTCCCTCCCATACAACGACGTCAACACACTCCCGCAGGCCATTCACGCTCACGCACCCTCTGACACGGGCATCTGCGTTTGACTCACACACTGCGCATACAGAGCGACTGGCCACGTTTGTTGAAGTGAAGAGCCCAAACGACACATTGGCAGAGAAGCAGAAGGTGCGTTGTTGTCGACTTGCACCAGATTGGCGCAATTCTTGACTGGTTCTGTCGAGCGTTTATTTCCAACATGGCTATCCTAGCAAACAAAGCACAAACCACGCGTGCATGCGTGCATGCACGCAAACGACAAGCCCACGAGACACGCCTCCACTTGCGCGGGCATGCCTCCACTTGCACGCACTCACAGCGGTCAACCAACATCACGTACACCACGATAACCTCACGCGCACGCAACCGCGCATGCAGATCTGGATCCATGTGCTGGTGACGCTGGGAGCAAATGTGGCGCTGTGCGAAGTGCGAGATTACGCAGGGCGAGCAGAGCTGTTGAAGCGACCAGTCTCGCCACTTCAGGCGTAGCGGTAACGCTGACGATGACAGGGGTGGGGGGAGAGGAAAAACAGGAGTAGGTGGGTTGAGGACACAGTAATTAGAGGGTGATATGGGCAGGTTTCAGTGGCAATGCCATCATGATTGACAATAAACGACTGGTACACAGACAAGGAGACGAAACAAACAGAGCCAGAGAGAATGAGCTGGTGCGTCCACTGCCGGTGTGTGTGCAACATCAGCAACCAACTGCGACGTTCGTGCGTCATGGTGTTGCGGCAGTGGTGGTCGCGTTTGCTGTTGGCGCTGCCTCTGTGTCACCGTAGAAGGAGCTGATGGAGAGAGTGGTGACGACAAGCAAGGTGACGATGGCTGCGACATACTGCATGACAACCCCGCGCGACAGCCGCTCAGCCACCCGCCGATTCCCCTCCCGCTGGTTCACAACAACAACAAGGTTCGCCGTCGGCGTCACACACTGGATCGACAGCACAAGCTGCAGCAGCGACGCATTCGCCCCCGTAAACACGCTCTCCCCAAGCAGCAGCACAATCCCAAACTTGATCGCCGGCCCAACAAACATCGACACTACCACAAATGCCACCAGCGTGCGCACATCCCACCGCTTCGTTGCCGCTTCCTCATCCTCGTCACCATCACCATCGCCGACAGCGGTCGTGCCGCCGGCTGCTGATGCGGGCAGCCCCTTGGACTGCTGGACCTGCTGCTGCTTGTCGACTTGTTGTTGCTCACGGTGTTGCTGTGCGCGCACGGCTGCGATTGCTTCGTCAATGTCCACCACAACTGCATCCTCTCGTTGCTTTGCCTGCTGCTGTGCTGCTTCGGACCCGTTGCTCTCGGCCAACACATACATTGATGACTTGCTTGGATTCGGCGTGAGGATGGCCTCCAACCACTGCAGTGACTCCGCGCTCTCCCCCAGCGCTTCTTGCGTTCCATCGCGTTCTTCCTCCCCGACTGCTGCTGCCGCTGCTGCTGCGTGAGTTGCGCCTGTCTTTGGCGCTGCTGGTGTGCTCTTGAACCACGTGAGCGGGTTGAGGGACGACAGAGACTTGCCCAGCGTGGCAGCCATGACGATGGTGAGCATGCCGACAACGCTCGACCCGTATGCGCTGGCAGCGGACGAGATGAAGAGCAGCGGTGCGCCATCGTCGAAGATGACGCGTCGAAGTGGCGCCACCAGCCCCACGACTGCGCCGAAGAGACACCCGAGCATGGGCGGGTTCACCAGTCCGCTCAGCGCCTGCCGCCAGCTGATGCCGACACCATGGCCCTCACCGCCCTGTGCATGTGCGTGTGTGCGTGTGCGTGTGTGTGTGCGTGTGTGTGCATGAGTGTGTATCGCGGAAGGGGGAATGCATGAAGCGTGAATGTGCGCATGGCAGCATGTATGAGTGAATTGGGCTAGGCACGCATGCGCACGTTGTGGACCAGAAACCAAAAGTACTTGGCAGGGCAGGGCACGGCACATCACGACGGCACATGCATGCTTGCTCGGGTCATTCATTATCCAAGCGCACCTCAAGGCCGCGAATGATGGCGACGCCGACGGTCCAGAAGCAGAGCGACCAACCAAACACATACATAAAGATGAAGGTGGCGCCCCGCTCAAAGCACTCGTCCTCTTCAGCGAGCTGTTCTTGGTCGCACAGTACCTGTGCGTACATGAATGTCGGCGTGCCGTTGTAAGTGGTGTAAGTTGTTGGTAAGCGGCGTGCGTTGTTGGTAAGCGGTGTGCGCAGGGAGACATGGAGGCATGGAGAGAGGAGACACACAGGCAAAGCCAGTGGCACAGACGGAGATTGAGACAGAGACAGAAACGTGCAGACGGGGGAGGAATCTGTGACACCTCGAGCATGATGAGTGGCACTGCCAGAATGTTGGCGAATCCGCAGCCAATGAGGAACTCTTTGCGAAAGTGTCGGGGAACGCAGGCCACTTGGATCGCACAGTATCCGAGTGCGACGGATGCAAGGATGTTGACTGCCAGTACAAACATGGATGCATGTGTGTGTGTGTGTGTGTGCGAGGTGATGAGCCGCGATGAAGTGTGACATGAACACAAGTGCACAACCGCACTGGAGCCGCAAGGGGCGCGAAGATGAACTATCAATTGGTGAACAGCGGCCGCGCATGTGTGCCGCTTGGTGTTGCAGTGGCAACGTACATGGAGCCCAGAAGATGAGGGGCCACGCTTCTTGGAACACCTCGGCGGAGAGCCGACTGCCCAGGCTGTAGAAGGTGAGGCATGGCACGAATATGGTGGTTGCGACGTTTGCAAGCGATGCAATCGCCGTTTGTGGGACCACGCCTGGGTGGAAACAATGAAGAGGATGGAGGGGGATGGAGGGGGGTGAGAGGAAGCATAAGGATATTGATGTGAGCGAGTTGGGCTGCATGGAAAGAGACAGAGACAGACAGAGACAGAGACAGAGACGGAGACAGAGAGACAGAGACACACACAGAGAGACAGAGAGGGGGGGCAAGAAGGAAGGGAGGCTGGGAAGAAGGCGAAAACAGGGCGGGAAGAAGGAAGATGCAGAGAGATCGCGCCTTTGACACATTACCAAGATCGCACGAACCCCAACAGAGACGGATCGACAAGAGGACAAGCAGCCTGTTCACACCATCGCACACACATGCACACACACATGCACACATGTACACACACATACGCACACACACACATGCACACATGCACGCGTGCACACCTGATGGGCCAACCCGGCCAGAAGGGTGCTTTGGGTAGTGAGCTGCTATGGCACCGATGATGTTCACCGCAAGCACAGAGGCCACCACTGTAGCAGCGGTGCCAACCACGGCCGAAGACACCTCCATCCTTGCCTCACGCGTTGCTCTCTGGTGTGGCGTTGGAATAAGTGGCTCTCTCGGTTGTGAACGCGGCTGACTTTCGATGGCTGACCGAAGCGGGTGTGCTTGGGTGTGTGTAATGAGGTGCAACCCTTCGTCATCCCCATGCTGTGTGCCATGATGACGGTGAACGGTCCAGCATCACCAGCAGCCTTTGGTCCTTGTCCCAAGCAAGCAATTTCGAATGACGCAATTATTCGCTCCCTCGCCACGCAATCAAAACATCGAAACGCGCTGGCTGACAAGATGCGAGAGATTGTGTGTGTGGTGGTGTGATTGCATCTGTGTGTGCGTGTGAGTGCGTGTGTGTGCGTGCGTGTGAGTGCGTGTGTGTCAGCCACGAACACACGTTGACACGCACACACGCACACACGCAACGTTCGTGCATCGTCTCTTCTCTTGTCATGAGGGCGAAAGCCGCGACACGAGGTACTTTAATGTAATGATGGGTTCGTGTAAACGAGAACTGAGCGAGCGAGCGAGCGAGCTACTACCTACAAACAGTATGAAAACCTGCATCACAAACGATGCCAATAATACCCAACGCCCAAGAGCACACGCCCAAGAGCACACGCACACACGCCCAAGAGCACAGACACAGACACACACACACGCACACACACACAGACACACACACACAGACACACACACAGACACAGACACACAGACACACACACACACACAGACACACACAGACACAGACACACACAGACACACACACACA